AGTTCTCCTGCATATGCAAGAGATGTGTCAAAAAAAAAAAATCTTCTCTAGTTTAATGCTTTTGAACTGAATTCTGATGCTCAATGCTAGAGGAGCTATAAAGTCAGTGAATTAACAAATTAACAAGAGCAAAACAGTATGGTTTCTCTAAGCCAGCATTTTATGTGACACATATTATTTTATTCAAGAAGCAACTTTTTATTGCCATATCAGCTTTTCTTTCATGTGTTTGAAGTCTTATGGTAAACCTGATTCATACTGAGAAGTCACATTCTTTTCTCAGTTCTACCAGATCTGGTTTTCAGTAGTTTGCAAATACATCTGCAGTGCAGAACATCAGATGCTACAATGAAAAGCTCTTATTATATTGAGATTAAAAATAGAGTACGAAGGAGCATCAATATACATGCTTGTATATTACTCTGTAGTATCTATGGAATACACTAAAAATTTAAACCACATTTTAGAGTTCGAAAGCACTTAAAATACAATAAATGATAGTAATTTCTGGTGTAGTCCTCAGACAGAAGTGCTATTGTGTAAGATGGTCTTGGTTTGACAAAGAATGAAGCATTTTGGAGAGGCAGAGCTTGCATCCCACACTGTTATACAAAACAGAACATGCCCTCAATTTCAGTCAGGTTTGCAAGAATATATGTAATTTTTTTCTGTCTTTCGGTCTTTCAGTTCTTATTCTGCCATTGCTTCTTGTCTTACTGTATGTATTGCATTTTAGCTTTGTTCAGAGCAGCCCATATGATTCTGTGTTTCTTATTTGGGACCAAAACAAGGTTGATAAAAGAGTTGTGTCTGTCATTGAAGAGTGCTTATACAGTGTTCAGGATTTTCCTAGCTATGTCAGTCTTTCTTTTTCATACTTTCCTTTTTTTTGGAATTCTGTCATTACTTTCAAACTATCTGACTGTTGCCATTTAAATCCAGCTCTTGTTCTCTCTCTATTTGAATTAGGCAACTGGGTTCCCACTTAGAAAGGCCTGGAAGAAGAGTAGATGACTGCAAGGAAAGATTAGCTCTCAGTTCAAAATCTAAACCTGGATATTAATTGGTCGCTAGGAGTGGAGAGTTCTACAGGAACATCACACTTCAGAGTCTTAGGTTTTGTTAAATTTGGTGTGTATTTGGGAAGTATTGCTTAAACATATTTCTTTCAATCACCTTGAATTGCTGTTTCCCAAAGGACTCATACTTGCCCATTTTTAGTAGATGATGGAAGAGCAAAATGCACATCCTTTACACGGTCACTTTTGCAACAAATACAAGTTTTGAAGGTGGCAGTAGTACATTCCCATGGAAAAGGTGATATTTTTTTTTTATTTTTTTATTTTTTCTGTGGAGAGATGGATTTTCTTTATGTCTTTCTCAAAAGTGAGTGCTGATAATTTCAATTTAATATAATTAAAACAAGAATAAAAAAATCCAAAGCAGATGCCTAAGAAAGCCCCAGCTGCCTCTGTTTGATAGTTATGTACATGTGAAAGACAAAAAAAAAGACATTTCTGAGCGACTTGAAAGCAATTGAGAACATTAACTCTACCAATAATATTTACCTATTATTTTTTCCTGTTTTGCCATCCACTAAAGTACATGCCCTAAAATACATATTTAGACATCAGTCTTTAGAGAAGTAATATGCAACATCACTGATGATCTTCTGAAATATTCACAGTGAGTAAGATGTTCAGGATGATAAATACCACAGATATTTATCAGCTAAAGACATGGGAACTCAAAATTCACCTTTTGAGGGAACCAATAAAGCATATATATAGAATATAAGGAATGAAACAAAGACTGCTCATTTTCTTGGATAGTTTTATTTAGAGTTTAACAAAAATAAAAAGATGTGAACTAACTGTGTTGGTACAGAATAGTTTACTGCAGTCAGAAGTATAGTGTTTGCATTATTTCCTCACTCACATATAAGAGCTTTCATGTGTATGTAACTTTCACCCATATGTACACAAACATTTCTACAAGGTCTAAACCCCTATCATTCTCCCTGGTAAACAGTCATTTAGCTTCTTTCAGTGTGTGATGGTGTAAGAGAACACAGTAGACTCTCTTTTCCTTCTTTGCTGCTTATTCTTACACCTTCTTTAATTAGTGAAAACTCTTCAGTAGACTCTTTGACACTCATTTTGCTGGCAGAAGTTGCCTCAAGCCTTGCAATTCTGTTCTCTTTTCGAGTTTTGCTGCCTCTTGCTGACACTATATGGGAGACGCACTAATAAGCTTTCTGAAAAAGACATCTAAGCTGGAACTACCAGGGGATATAGATAAAGCCTCTCTTGGTGAAGAAACTAATGTAATAAATATTGAGGAATCTGTTCAGTGCCAGTAGCAGGTAAGCAAGATGCAGCTTGAGCTGCAGGTGGAGCTCTAGTGGTGGAGCCCAAAAACTGGGCAAATTCATTTTTCAAATAAAAGGCGTGGGAACCTGTGACCCAGCCAGGGGACCGGACACTCAGAGACATGGCAAGAGCTGAGGACTCTGCTGGAACAGCCCAGAGGTTGGGATGTGAGGGTATAAGAGCCCTGAGATTTACTTTTTTCAGGGTCCCTCCTCAGACACATCAGCTCGAGATGATAATCTGTTGTTGCACCATGATGAAATTATTTTAAGGATCCAGGTCTGAGACTGCTGTGGGAAACCAGGGGTTGAACCAGTGGGAAAACCTGGTCTGACTGTGTGAGAGTTGGGTGTGCAGGGAGAGAAACAGGAGCCTGTCGGATCATTGGAGCTGCCCCCTCTGAAGGGGCTTCAGTCCCTGCTGTGAAAGTCTCTGGTGGTGGGAGTGTGACTTCCAGAGTGTGGCTCCTGTGTTTCCTTAACAATAAAAATGTAAAAACAGGAAAATTGTGCTTAATTCAGACAACAATTGTGTGTAATTCAGATGACAAAACCTTTTGGATGAAAATTGGAAAGAGATGTTAAGGGGATGTGACACAATTTGTTCTAACAGCAAGCTTATTAACACTTCATGCTTAAAATGCTGTTCTCTACCAACTAATAGAAAGAGCCCATCTGCTGCACACCAGATAATTAAAGCTCATAAGGAAAAATTCTTGGCAAAAGGAGAAGAGACAAATCTGCCCTGTTAGATGGAATTGGATTATGGTTTTGGAATTCTCCAGTACTGTAGCAGCTATTTTGTATTCCATATCAACACATTATACATGTTAAATGCAAGTATAGCAGTCCTATTACTCTGCTTGCATTTCTACAGCTTGAAGCATTTCTAAGATGACTATTCTGTCTAACAGTAAATATTTCAGTCCTCTTTCTCTTGACACTTTTTATAATGACAGCATGATAATCATACATATCTAGGAAAAGCATAGTGATTTTCTCTCACAAAAAGGAGCAACATCTCAATGAGTGACATTGTTTTATTAAAGCCTTATACTTTTTAAAGAAGTTATTACTCGTTTCTCACAAAAATATATTTACATTATATTACATATATATACATTATATTACAATAATAGTTTTGGCAAAAGTCCAAGCTTAGTCCTAATTTTCACATTGTTGGGAATGTTTTATTCATGCCTGTCAGCAGTTGTGGCTAATGGTATAGGTAAACTGTGTTTGATGGAACAATAGAGTTATAATTATTTTCTTTTATCTTTGATTTCTTGTATAGACAAAATGAAAGATTTGTTGAGATAGCTGGGTAATATTATGCAATTTAAACTGTTGGTTAAAGAGTTACACATTATCTTGCTCTCCCTTAACGATAAGATAATTTTCTTTCTATTTCTTTTGTCTGTACAGTAGAGGCTAAAAACTCTTTAATTGACAGAGGCTCAGCTAGAAATCATGGAACCCTCCTGAGCCCCTGCTGTGTTCTCCTACCCTTTGCAAATAGCACTGCTGTGGGTAACAAATTCCCCTGGATTAGGGGAGTAGCAGGATTAGCTTTAATACTGGTGGGATGTCATCAAATCTCTGTAGCCAGTAATACACAGAGTACTCAAAAGTAATTATAGTTGGTAATATTTAAAAGCTGTAGAAGTGGTCATATGAATAGGTTTAGCACATGGATTATATGAATGGCTCTTCATGGATACAGAAAACAAGAAAAAAAGGACCAAAATATATTTTACAAGAGAGTTAAAAGTCAAATCCTTTTCTGTTTTAAAGGGTCAATCTGTATAATAACAAAAAGCAGTCACTTCTTAGTTAAAGAGTCACTTTGTAGTTAAAAACTACTAGAAAAAGTAGTTTTTAACATAAAAAAATATTTTCCTCTGTCATTATTCTAAAATGATGGTTGATTAAATTGGTTGTGCTAAGGCTTTAACTTTGAAAAAAAAAACCAAAATAAAATTCAGTCTAAAACATAAATTCATTAGTGAGATTTACAGAGCACAGGATAGAGGGGCTTATGCTGAGAGCATTGAGTCACCCTGTCTGTCACATTGTAATCAGCTACATATTGAATTATATTTTCCAAAGAAATTCAAATAAAACAAATATTATTCATAGATACATATTAGAAATTAATTATTAAAGGATTTTAACTTGTGGCCTTTTAAAAAAAAGTCTAATTCCATTTCATTTATTTGAATTCCATTTCTATTGATTTTAACTATGAAAAAAATCCTCATAAAAGCTTAACTATAATGGCTTGAATGGTTGTACAGTTATTTAGAATTCCCCATAGACAAAGGGCTGCACACCATTACCTGTAACTGTTCAGTTGAAGAAAAGCAACAACTTTTTATCCAAAAGAAAGGGCTTTTGGGACCTCATGAAACAATATACATGCAGTATCAGTACAAAATATGTGCCCCTTGTTTCTCAGAGTTATACCTTGCTGTCATAAAGCAGAGAAGCTCAGTTTTCTATACAATGGTGATTGCATCAAAGATTCACAGCATGTTTACAACAGAGAAAAAATATCTCACAACACCCCCACCCCCCCAAAAAAAACCCCTAAGCAAAACAAAACAAAAAATCCCACCTGATACCTGAGTAGAAATTATGGTTTGAAGGAAATAATCTGGCAGCAATAAGTCTTTTCTTAAATGCACATGTTTATATTCTTCACAAAATGGAGCACTTCTGAGAAAGATGGCAAAATAGAAGAAAATTATTAATTGAGATGTTAAGACTAAAAATTGATGTTGTAGTTTACATGCTTAATTTTTGACATGGGATCTCTGTTAGCCTGTGTCTTATAACAGAAAAATGTCGGCAAAATTGATGTTATATGTACAACACCAGTTTATATGCCAAAGCTGCGTTCAACAGGGAATACTACAGAGAGTGTTATTTTGTGACAGTCATGTAATGGATCCTTGCTTTAAATATATAAGGAGTAAAAATGCTTATGAAGAAGAGAAGTAAAAGTGCCTGATATTAGAACCCTTCCACAGAATTGAAAGAGCAAAGATGACTTAAAATCTCTCCTATTAATGCTGTTTTAATAAAAAGATTAGTTTACAAAATGATAATTTAAACTTGTGGGTCATAAGAATTGCTAAGGCCTCTGTGATGCTTATCTTTGGGTTGCAGAGTCCAAATGAACATAGTATGTGTATGTACTACAATTTGACTATTACTTTTCATCAAACTGAAATTTTCCATTTTTGATTGTATTGTTCCCTGGAATATAGTATGTTACAGAGTAATATTTTAGATTTTCTTACATAATTTATTCTATTTTCCATAAAGATATTTAGTTAACAACATATTAGAGCTGAACAAAAGATTTTGGTGCGACTCCTCCTGAGACAATGTCCTAACCAGCATTACATTAGGAGCAAATATTAAGATGGGTTAAACCATCACTGGATTACTGTAAAGTCTACCTGAACTTCAGTAAATCTTTCACTACTATCTCCCATGGACAGTCCATTAGCAGCTCATGGCTCTGAAGGTGCACTCTTCACTGGGTTGAAAACTGTCTGGGCTCAGAGAGTGGTGGTGGCTGACAACCAGCTGGCAGCCAGTCAAAAGTGGTGTCCCAGGGTTTAGTATTGAGGCCAGTCCTGTTTAATATCTTCATTGATTATCTGGATGAGAGGATCAAGTGCTTTGCAGAAAACACCATATTGGGCTGGAGTGTTGACTGAGGGATCTGAACAGTCTGGACCAACGGTCTGAAGTTCAACAAGACCAAGTGCCAGGTCATGCACTTGGGTCACAACAACCCCTGCGGTGCTACAGGCTGGAGGCAGAGTGGCTGGCAAAGCTGCAAGGCAGAAAAGGACCTGGGGCTGTTGGTCCTCAGACAGCTGAACATGAGACAGTGTGTGCCCAAGTGGCACATAAGGCCAGTGACATTCTGGCTTGTATCAGAAATAGCAGTGCGTCCAGAGGAGAAGGGCAACAAGGCTGATGATATGTCCAGAGAATGAGTCATATGAGGAGAAGCTGAGGGGGAAGGGGTTGTTTAGCCTGTAGAAAAAGAGGCTCACGAGAGACCTTAACACTGTCCACAACTTACTGGAAGGAGGCTGGAGCCAGGTGGGAGTCAGTTTCTTCTCCCAGGCAACCAGCACCAGGACAAGGGGAAATGGGCACAAGTGGTGCCAGCGGAGGTTCAGGTCAAACATCAGGAAGAATTTCTTCATGAAAGAGAATTTGGGCATTGGAATGGTCTTCCCAGGGAGGTAGTGGAATCACCATTCCTGGAAATGACTGGATATGGCATTTAGGGCTATGGTTGAGTTGACAAGGTGTAGTTCAGTCAAAGATTCAACTGAATGATCCTGGAGATCTTTCTCTAACATTTATGATTCTGTGATTCAATAAAATGAACCTGTAGGAGCTGAACTTCTTAGTATTTTTCCTATCACTTTTGCTCGCTTGTATGAACAAAGATATTTATGTAGAGTTGCTTTTTTGGGTTTATTTTTGTTTGCTTCTTTTCTCTGAAGAAGCTTTTTACATACCTTGTGCTGGGGGTTAGGTGTCTCTCCTTTTGTTCCTTCTCACCTATAGAATTTTTCCCATTAATTGCAGGGAAACCTGACTGATGGTACTTATTGGGTGATTGACAAAATAGAGTTTGGCTGAGCCCAGGGGGAAAGGGGGCAGGTAAAATGGAGGGTGGGGGCAGCTGCTAGTGGGCTTGTTTCTTTGGCTTCAGAGTAGGACACACTCAGAGATGTTGTTCATTGGGGAAAGGAATTCACCATAACCCAGACAGCTGCTGCTGCTTCTTCTTCTGCTGCTGCTGCTGCTTCTCCTCCTTCTTCTCCTCCTTCTTCTCCTCCTTCTTCTCCTCCTTCTCCTTCTCCTTCTCCTTCTCCTTCTCCTTCTCCTTCTCCTTCTCCTTCTCCTTCTCCTTCTCCTTCTCCTTCTTCTTTGTATTCTGCTTCTTCTTCTCCTTCTTCTTCTTCTTCTTCTTCTTCTGCTGCTTCTGCTGCTTCTGCTTCTGTGGACCCTGCACATCCTGTCCTAGTGGAATACGTGGCAGTGCCAGCCACCACCATGGAGCTTCTGTTACATCTTGTCCACTGGCTTGGGATCTCAGCTCATCCCTGCTGATCCACCTCAGCCACCGGCCCAGGATCTCAGCTCATGCCTGCTGTTCCAGCCGAGTGTTCCTCAGAGCCCTGCAGGAGCACCAGGACTGCCCGAGGGGTTTGTGCAAACAAAGCCTCTCCTCCATCCCGTCTCAGCCAAGAAAGCTGTCACAGGGCCCCTGGTTCTGTTTTCTTGCTAATGCTGTAGTTATTGTTGTTTGTCTGCCTTGTTATAAATGCTAGTAAAGAACTGTTATTCCTATCCCCATATCTTTGCCTGAGAGCCCCTTGATTTCAGAATTATAATAATTCGGAGGGAGAGAGTCTGCATTCTCATTCCAAGGGAGGCTCCTGCCCTCCCTAGCAGACACCTGTCTTCTAAACTGATACACCTTGGGAAACCATAACTTTAAAAACACACCTCTTTAGTATATATGAGAAAAGTAGAAGAAAAAGAGTCTGCTGCCTAAAAAGTTACAGTTAAAAACAGCATATTATGAGTTTCAAAGAATGATAGTTGTACATTCTAATGAAGTCTTCTAATATTTTTGATGCCTTCTATTTGCTTATTGAATGAAGACTAATTGAGCAAAGTTATCAAAAGTCATGAAGGAACAATTTCTAATTCTTTATCTTAATTTACTAAAAGCTTATATAGCTGAAAAGTATCATTTGTCCAACTATGTTAAAGAAAATTACTTTTTCTTCTCTTCTTTTATTCACTACTGTAATTTAGAAGTTTCTCTAGATGTTTAACTAATTAAAAATTATCTCCATTAACGAGAATATTAAATTTCATTGGTTTTAAATCTTCAGAATGACAAATAAAAGAGACAGTGAGTGGCAATGGGATTTTTTTTCTCATCTTTGTAATGTACCTTCTTTTATTCCCATAAAATTTTAGACCTTCAGATACTTTTACAAGTTAGAAAAATGCAAGAATAGGTATACTTTACTAAAGGACATTTGTATCTGATAGAAACATCTTAAACATAGAGAGGTCTGAAGAGAAAGTTCAATTTTTTTGCTCTCTCTCCAAACATAAGATATAATTTTCATTTATATGTGCTATTTATAATGAAATTTAAAATTATATATATATATTATGAAATATTATAACATATATATCATATAATATATGATATATATTATGAAATTATAAAATATTTTTATGTGTTTGAATCAAGCTATAGTTAAATATATGCTGATTCCTAGTTTTTGTTCTCAGCAATTTTAATATTCAATGCCATAATATAGTACTTCAGACTTTAGGGTGCAGTGTCATTGAAAAATTATGCTGGTGTCTAGCACAGTCAAACTATTTTACTGAAAGGCAAATTGTGGAAGGGTTTCTGTACTTTGATAGGTTATCTCCAACTGTGATCAGTCATTGAAAATGCTGAGTTTATTTTATTTGAAAAATGGTTTTCCTCCATCTGGAACCATGAAAAGTTTTGATCTATGTAAAGATTGTGTGTGTAGTGCTGAGAGATGATTATTCGTTGGGGAAAGTCACTTTACCTTGTTCTATCATGAAATGACAGTTTGTGTAAGGGATTTCTTCAGCAGCCGGTGAATAGGGTCAATAATCCAACATTGCCTGAAAATACAAAGATCTATAGTATTTTTCAACCTTCTACATTTTCTTTCTAGTTTTTGATCTTGCATCTGGCTTTAGTCAATATTTCTCCTTTGCCTTTGAGTACTACATTTTATTATAGAAAAATGTGTAACTGTGCTGTAATTTCAAAATTGCATTGAAACATTGTGCTCAGTGGGAGGTTTAGTGCATTTCTGTGGAGCAGAACTGTTTCTGTTGTATATTTGCAATTAATGAAGAGAAACCAAATTAAAATGAGACCAGTGTGGGCAATAAAAACTCTCCTACCTGTGTACTAACTCACTAAGATTGCTGTTCTGAAAGATCTGTTCTGGAGGTGCTGAATTAACAAGGAGACAATTCTGAAACTGAGGGTCATTGTATAACTTTGAGGGAAGGTCACAGTGTCCTCCTTTTACATGGTCATTGCTACTTGCCACTAATGATAGCGATGTGAACCTGTAAGAAATAGCAGTACTTTTTAATCCAAAAGAGTAAGGTCAGAACAGATGAAAAATAGTCTGAGAGGATGAGCTATTAAATTAATTTGCTGCTTCTCTTTGATGACCCAGTTTTAAGCTCTCTTTCATTTTTAAAAGAACTGGGATAGAGTATTCTCCCATTTAATGCTGGCTTTGGTTGCTGGTTTGAAGCTGAGAGTCATAGTTTTACAACCTTCTACTCTTTTAATAAGTAAGTGCTGTCAGTTTGTAGAATATTTTGGTCCTGTGTTTCTTAGTGGGATGATAACTAACATGGGACAGAGTGACTTTGCTCCCTCCTTTTCTTTTGCCCAGGTTATTGACATAGAACAAGGTGAGAAGATCAGATATTTTTTCTGTTCAATGTCTGAAAAAGCATGGAATGAATAATACCATTCTGCTAAATAATAATAAAAATAATAATAATTTCTGCTCTGAAATAATAGTCATTTTAAAGTTCTTAACAATGGAATTGTTTTTCATTTCAGATTGATTATTTTAGTTATATAAAGTTTATCACATAACTGAAGTAACACTATGGATATTAATCCTAATTCAAGTCACATTCAAGCAAAAAATCAAATTGCCCCCCTTTACAAATATTGCCCATTTCCAAGAAATAAAACATACATTCACAGAGGCCTTATTTTAGCTTACTTTATTTGTAGTATAGGGCAGAGAAAAATGTATCAAAAAAGTCATGCAGGGTCAGCTGATTTAAAATAAAATTGGATATATTCCATGTATTATTAACATACTTGGTATTTTAATTCAACAAGTGTTTATTCAAATTGGTATTTAACCATTAAAAATCCAGAAAGAAAAAAAAAAACAGAAAAAATCAGAAAGAAAAGAAAATATAGCTTACAATATAAATTAAAAGACAGCTAATACATCTTCACACTTTCCTTAGATCCCACTTACAATTTATTCTTGGTTAGGTGGATGAAAACCCATTCTAAATCCAGTTTTCCTAAGAGGAAAAGGCCATCAGATCATAGTGTACTACTGACCATTGAGTGAATTTTTGATACACATAACTTCACTCAGTGGATTTTAGAAACTTTTGATCATCTCCAAAATCACTCCTACTCACAGAGAAAGTTCAGAAATATCTAAAAGCTGAACTCTAAACTCCTCCAGCTACCATTGAAACCAGAGGCAAATCGGTCACAAAGCAATAAGTTTGAGCTGAATATCCTTGTTTGAATTTTTTTGATACCAAAGACCATGCTAAAACAGACAGACTGGTTTCAGGATTTGAATTACTATTTAAAGATTATTTTCTGTACCATACACCATGCTTTGTCAGATGTCTTTGTAAATGCTCTGGATAAATACAGCATTGCAAAGTGTAGATTTGTAAAAAATCAGACAAAGAAAAATGTCTAACCTCTGAAAGAATCCTTGATGACTTTCCAGTCATCAATTTTTCTGTAATTTCATCCATGGAGGTTTTCATTATATACTCCTACATGACAATAACCCCAAGCATGTGTTCCTTTACCTTTTGTCATAATGGATGAGAATTAAAATTTTGAATGTAGATAATAGTAAATGCACATTAATATTAAACATTCAGAAAAAAAATAATAAAAAGAATGATCAAATTTATATTCATTTTTTATGGGTTATCAAAATTATTTGTAATTCATAGTATTTATCCCATTACTGACTTTATACAAAATGCAAGAACAAAGTTGTCAGACTTGCTTTGTCTGAGCTTTTCTTGACCTGCCTGGAGATTGCTTTTAACTTTTTTAGCTACAACAGTAGTAGTCTATTGCTCAAGTGACTACTGTCTAAACTATTCTGCTTTCATCTTTTTACATCATGTATGTCTGCACGATATATGATTGTTATACCATTTTTTATATTTTCCAATTGGGTGGTAATAATAATAGGTAGTGGAAAAATAAATCTAACATGTAACACAAAAAGAAAAAGTAGGCACTGGAATATGTGTATAACAATTTTAATTGCATTATTATAGACTTTTCCTGTCTTGGTTTGTTGATTGGTTGTTGTTTGGGTTTTTTCAATTGGTGCCAAAATTAAAAAAAATTAATATTTCAAATGCACTAACAATGAATTACTGATTTTTGAAGTGTTTTTCTTGGGTACATATAAACCAAAGAATTTGAAGTGGAACTGATGCCTTAATTTAAGGCGACAGTACATCTAAATCCTTGGACATGTTTATTCATATATATGTCCCCTGATCACTTAAATTAGTTCTTCACTTTCAATTCAGTGTATCCATGATTTTCTTGGCCAAGAGCTAATTTCGTTTGGTGGGGATGCCTTCATGTCCCTAGGCTTCAATACTTCTGCATTGAAACTGTATCATCTAATACTTCCATGAAGCATAATCCGGTAAAGCTACAGGTGATGTTGAACCATGTGCACAGTTTGTCCTAAAAATGTCTCTTTCATAGCTTACTGAGGGTATATAATCATAATTTAAATGCTCAGGAAACACAGCATTTCGCTCTGTCAGTGTGAACTGATGTATAAATTCTTTGGTCAAATACGTATTTTTCTTTTCTTACTAGAGTTTAAAAATATCAAGTATGAGTGTTCAATATCCCATTTTGTATCTAAATACAAAAACATAAAAAAAAAAGGGGGGGGGGCTTATGAACTTTCAGAATTGTGAAACCTCAAACTCAAAATATATGCAATGCTAAGGTATAATATACATAAAGCCTTAATTTCTATTCTTCATCGAGGTCGTGGTTTAACCCCAGCCAGCAAATGAAGCCCACTCAGCCACTCACACACTCCCACCAGTGAGGTCAGGGAGAGAATTAGAAGGGTAAAATATAAAATCTCATGGGTCAAGATAAAGTCAGTTTAATAGGGAAAGCAAAAGCTGCACACACATGCACAACAAACCAAGGAATTGATTCACTGCTTCCCACAGGCAGGCAGGTGTTCAGCCACCTCCAGGGAAGCAGGGTCCCAGCACACATAATGGTACTTGAGAAGACATATGCCATCACTCCAAACATCTCCCACTTCCCCCTTCTTCTCTCCACTTTATACATGGACCATGATGCCAAATGGTCTGGAATATCCCTTTGGTCAGTTTGAATCATCTGTCTCAGCTGTGTCTTCCAAACTTCCCATGTACCCCCAACTTCCTCACAAGTGCGTCAGCACAAAAAGAAGAAAAGACCTTGGCTCTGTGTAAACCCTTCTTGGCAATAACAAAAATGTCTCTATTATCAACCCTGTGCTGAACACAAATCCAAAATGTAGCTCCATACTTGATAATGTGAACAAAATCAACTCTACCTCAGCTGAAGCCAGCACAATAGGTATGACTTTCTGAACAATTTGGTTACTTTTCATATAGATCGTCAACAAGGAACAGATATAGACTATTCTCTGTAATGTGAATCTATTATCTGAGAGAAAAAAAACACTTTTCAACTTATCTCCTGATTTATATGGTAGAAAAAAAAAATTGCTCATTGACTTCCTAAATGTTGAAGATGAGTGAATTTAGATACTAATTTAGAATTTAGTTACATGTACTAAGCTCCTGGTGTTGTAGATTAGTATTATATCTATATATATATTTCATTTTTTGCAGCACATTAATTGTAGGAGTCCTGATTGTAAAATAGAAAGGAATCAAAACCATGCATATTAAAAATGCTAGTTGCTGTTTGGGTTCTGTAACAATTTTTCTGTGAAGTTTTGAGAATGTCATTATTAATACCTTGCCATTTTAGATTGGAAGCTTGAAGCCTTAATTATTAATAGACATAACAAATACTTCAGATATGCTAAAAGCATTGATGGAATTAGTTGACGATTCTTCTTGTGTCCAGATTACTGTGCCACTCCTCAAGGCAGGACAAATGAGTGTTTTATTCTTTTCCCTCTCCTCTTTGCCATACACCATACACAAAAGCTACCAAAAAAGTTGTAGATTGACCCTGGCTGGCAGCCAAGGCCCGCACAGCCACTCAGTCACTTCCCCTTCAGGGGGTGGAGGAAAAAACTGAATGAGTAAATGAGTTAAAGATAACAAATGTGTATGCAAACAAAGTAAAACAAATAATTAATTCACCACTTCCCATGGCCACCTCCAGGGAATCAGAGCCCCATGATGCAGAATGGTGACTTTGGAAGACAAAAGCCATCACTCTGAATCCCTGCCTTCCATCTTCTTCCCTGAGCTGTATATGCTGAGCATGACACCATATGGGGTGGGATATCCCTCGGGTCAGTTTAGGTCAGCTGTCCTGCCTGTGTCCCCTTCTGACTTCTTGTGTATCCCCAGCTCACTGATGTAGTGGTGTAGGAGAAAAAAGCCCTTCATTCAGTGTAAGCACTGATCAGCAATAACAAAACTGAATTCTTACCATGATTCCCAGCATAAATCCTAACTACAGCCCTTTACTAGCTGCTATGAGGAAAAATAACTCTATCCCAGACAAAACCAGCAGAGAAGTAAAAGTCTGGTGAATGTATTTCAATATATATATGATGTCTAGAGAAGCAGCAGCAAAAAATTTTGATTTATGGAATTGAAAAGTGGATAAGATATACAAATGGAATATCATTGAATATTAAGGCATGCAAACGTATAACAGACTATTAGTCATTTATACTTTGTGGCTCTGTATAATTTAGTTTTCAGACATGAAATAGTTTTTTTTCTTGCTGATCAAATAGAAAGGGAAAGGCTTAAAAACACTTATGTTGGAATTTTCCAAGGTCTATCATCAATATTTTATCTTTTTTAGTATTTTACCAAAAGTTTAATTTATTTTGCTTGCTAAAGGGATATATATTTTTAAAATTTTCATTCTAGATTTATGGAACTTACTTCAATAAAAATGTGGATTTTTTTGTATTTCAAAATATTTTTTTCCATTGGACATTTACATTGTTATAAAGCTTTATTTTCTTCTATTGCATTTTTATACTTGTAAAATATTTAATATTTAAGGTGTTTTCCTTGCATCATGTCAAAAATACATTTTTTTGATCAAAAATTTGTGGGAATAATATATGCTCTTTTCAAAAAAATGTTTTTTCTTTTATTTCATGTGCTTAAAGGATATTTTTACTTGATCTATCTTTATGGGATTTTTTTTCTGATCATTAAAAATTACCACTTCCACAGGGAAGTACTTCTAAATAATAATAATAGCATATGTAAAATATGTTTATTTGGAAATCAAAGACTTGAGTGCAGCTTATGAAAAAAAAACAATGGAGTTTGTTTAAAAACACAACATACTCTCTTTCTGGTAACCATGGCAGCACAGTGAGAGTGGCAGAACATTTCTTAAAAGCTGTAGAAAACACTTCTATAAGAAGATCAGAACTGAATCACTATTGTCACCCATAGATTTTGATTTCTTTTAAAATTCTACTCCTAATTTGTTCATCAAATACATTCAACAGGCTCAGAGGCAGGTATGCTGAAAACAGCTTCAGGCCTTTTAATGGTGGGGGCTAGAAACTAATTTTTGAGCATGAATTATACAGTCAGTGGCTGGAACAGCCTGAAGACACAAAAGCCATGTCATATTCATGCATAGGATGTTTGTTTGTTAGGATTTATACAATACTTTAATGCTACACCCTGAATATAAAAGTTCTGTATACCATCATATACTTTTTCCTTGCCTACCTGGGGGGAGGAAATGAAAGTCAGAAAATATCTGTAAATAATTTTCAAAAAAAGCCATGAATAGACTTCTTTTCCCTTTTCTGTGCCTATTTCCTGCTTTTATGGGTGTGTATGTTTATGGGTGCTCACAGGCTGAAGAGCCTGTGTCTGTGCAGTTGTAGTTCACAAGTGGTACATAAAATGCTGTTGAAAATATCTCCAGAAGCAAATGTTATTGTGCCAGGGTTCAGTGTGGATGCAGTTCAGTCAACCAGCTGGACCAGTTTTTGTTTCTTCTTTGTTTCAATCTTTGGTGATTTTGGATAAATAATATCAGTAGTTCTTTATTTGAGAAAAAATGAAATGGAAATCAGTGTTCTTTTTCTTTAAGATATTCTTACAGTATGTAAGATTTTCTAAAAGGTATTCAAATATCCAGCTGTATTTTTATATTTAATATATTCTAAAATACCCAAATAATTTAAAAACAAACAAAAAAAAAAGACTTTAAGATTTCATTTCTGACGTCTAGGTTTGGAAAACGCAGTAATTTTGCATGTGACTTAATAAATAATACATTGATGTTTGCCTAGCTGTCAGCTTAAGCCACTGTGATAAGAATGGTTAATTAGTAAGAGCAGGAATTTTTTAACCTCTTCACATTCTTAGTTCCATGGTAAATTATAGAATTATAGAATCACATAACATTTAGGATTGGAAAAGTCCTCAAAAACTGTCTGTTTTCAAGCCCCCTGCCATGGGCATAGAACCTTGCACTAGGTCAGGCTGCTCAAAGCCCCATCCAACCTGGCCTTGAATGCTTTGATGTCTCCCTCTGACCAGTGTTTGTTATGTTATATGATAAAACTGAAGAGAAAGAAAAATCTTAAGCCATTACTAATTACAGGTAGGAAGAGGGAATTGTCCCTTTAAGAACTAAGGACTTTGAGTGATAGCATGGAGAAATTTGTACAGAAGCCAAAAGCCTCATCTTGATAGTGTCTATTGCTGTTTTGGGTTTTTTCCTTTTCCTCTTCAAACAAATTCATGTGGTTCTCTCTTCATCCTAGCATATTTTAGCTATGGATTTGTTCAGTTAGGAATATTATTATCCTAAAGCTTTTTGCAAAGAGGGAGAAATAGTTACTTCTAAATTGCATGAACATAGTTGGTGGAATTTTTTAAATAAGTCTCTTATTTACATACCTTGAGTTAGAGCAAGGCCGTAGGTATTTATGCAAGTTCAACTCGTCACGTGCACAAAACAGAAGCAGAGTTCTAGACAAGTACCATTACAGCTCTGGGCCGTCACTCCTTTTGGCATAACCCTGCTCTTCCACACGCAGTCCCCGCGGTGCCCCCACCCTGGCTGTGGCTCAGCCATTCCCTGTGCTGGGCAGCTGAATCTGGATGGATCTGGCTGGAACCGGTTGTGTCCGGCTGTGTCTGGCTGGAACCGGCTGTGTCTGGCTGTGTCTGGCTGGAACCAGCTGTGTCTGGCTGTGTCTGGCTGCGTCTGGCTGGAACCGGTTGTGTCCGGCTGTGTCTGGCTGGAACCGGCTGTGTCTGGCTGTGTCTGGCTGGAACCAGCTGTGTCTGGCTGTGTCTGGCTGTGTCTGGCTGCGTCTGGCTGGAACCGGCTGTGTCCGGCTGGGGCAGCCCCGGCCTCCCCTCGGAGCCGCTGCAGCTGCTGGAGCCTGGGCACGGCTGCAGTTGGTAATGTTGAGGAATATGTCTAGCACAGGAGTCTGGGCTGCAGGTTGAGCTCTGGTGGGAGCCTGAGACAAAAGGCTGTACTGCCCACCTTTGGGATAGCAGAGGGCATGAAGATGGGTGGTGTCAGCCAGGTGAATAGATACTGATACACAGCAGGAAAGACAATTGCCAAACCTTTTGAATAACAAAGGAAGCAAAGTCCATTGACACCAGCAAGATGGATGGACACAGAGAGGAGTCAGAAGCTGGGAACTCAGGAGGAAAAGCAAGACTCATGCTTGGTGAGACTGTGAGGGTGTAAAAGCCCAGTGGTTTCCTGGTTGGGATTCTCCTCAGAGGCATCAGCTTGAGCTGTTTCAGTGTGAGTTCACTGTGAATAAATGGCTTTATGGGATGAGGCATCTGAGACTGATGTGGGAGACCCAGGGTGAAATCCATGAGGAAACGTGGTCTGACTGGGAGGGTGGGGTGTGCAGGGAGTGAAATGGGGACTGGTCAGATCACTGGAGCTGCCCACTGTGAAGGGGCTCTGGTCCCTGCTGTGAAAGTCTCTGGTGGTGAGAGTGTGATTGCCAGTCTCATAAATGGTCAGACTGTATAGTTTCCTTAATATTAACTCACAAAGAACAGACCACCATCACGTTTTTCAATTTTTTATCCATGCCATGTTTCATTTTTCATTTTACCCAGCCTGCCATGCATACTGATTTTACATGGTAAAGATATTTACATTTGTTCATTGTATGCTAAGCAAGAAAGTTTTCCCTTTGGCTGGGTTGTCTTTAAAAGGAAAAATGCAACCAGCATAAAACTTCATGTTTCATATTGCATGCAGACCTGTGGGCAGTCTTATGCATTTTGAGGAAAAATTCAGGACCTAGTCATTTTTATGCTAGAAAGATACAGATGATATTTTCTTCCCAGCAAGCCTTGCAGACCTCTGCATAGAATCCAAACACAGGCTGGAGGTGGTGGTGAGGTGTTGCTGTTTCACTTCTGTAGCTGCTCCACTGCTGTTCACCTGCCTCACCAGGGTTTCTAGGTATCAGAGCAAAAATGAGATATACAACAAAGGACAAACCTTAATTTTCTGCAAGAACCAGAAAACCAGTAAGACCCCATCACCACCACTACTAGTGCCGAAAAACACAATGCACTAAAGAAAAACAGTGCAAACAAACCCCAAACAAAACAAAACAAAACAAAACAAAAAAAGCCAAAACAAAACAAAGACTATCCAGATCCAAAACCCAACCGACCAGCAAACCCTTCTATTGGGAAAGAGGAAGACAGCTTCAGCGATTATGGTTACTTCATGCTCTAAATAGGTTAAGAAAGCTTGTGAATTATTTTTTGCTTTCACCTGCCAGCAATGGCCCATAAAAACCATACACAACCATCATGGGATGATCTGCTAATTTAATCTTCTTTCCATTATCATGTCTGCATAATTTCAGAAGCATTAACCAATCTGCTACTGGTGGTGACTGCTGCTACTGTTGTCAATGGTGTAGCAATACCAGCCGCAAGTACTGGTAATCACCTAAATAAGTACTGGTGGCAGTGCTGGCCTCCACCTACCCTGCCTTCCCTCTTCTTGCTATGGGACAATATGGAAAAAGACATAAATCCCAGTTACAGTGGGCCTTTATTTTTCAAAGACAGTATTCAGTAAATATCCAATAGTGAATACTTCCAGAAGAATAAAATTCATCTTTTGTGCCATGTGAGTAAAGAAATGCAGGACATAAAATCTGCCTCTAATTAGTGGCAAAGCTTCTTGAATTTCCCTGGTAAACAGAGAATCATAGAATGATAGAATGGTTTGGGTTGGAAGGGACATTTATGGCCATCTAGTCCAGCCTTCTTGCATTAAGCAGGTACACCTTCAACATGTTGATCAGAGCCATCCAGCCTGACAGAATTTTTCCAGGGATCGAATGTCTGCCACTTTTTTCTGAACATCTGTCCCAGTGTTGCACACCCTCATAAAAGAATCTTTACATCTAATCTCAAATTAACTGCATTTCAGTTTAAGGGGGCTGAAATGCATTGTCATAGAGATCCAGAATGTTCCAGTGTGCTGCTTTCTATGGGTCAGTTCAATTTGAGCAGTGATTATTTCACCTACCTGACATATTCCTATAGGCAGATGTCAAATGAGATAGCCCATTGTCAAGTGTTTTTGTTTACTAGTGTGGACAGCACTGCCCTGCAAATACTAACAGAGTAATAAAATAAGATTGCTACAATCACAACCTAACTAGATTTTACTTGTTTCTTTTCTCAAAGCAATGGAATTGGCTTTTTACATTAGTAGTCTGCATTTGATTCATATTTCTATTTAACAGAATAATGCCATGCAGGCTGTCATGGGTGAAATGAGATTTTTCAGCTTCAGAAGGAGGAGCAAGTATTTGTCTTTAAACTGATCTCAAAATGAAATCTTGATTTTTAAAACATTCTGGGAGTGGCAACAAGGTTACAGAATATCTGCTTCAAGTTACCTAAGGAAAAAAACATCATAACTTTTTTTTGTACAGTTGTATGCTGAGGTGGTTTCAAAAGGTTCATTCACAGTATTTGATAATTTCTGTCAATTTCTGTCAATGGAATGACCTCCATTCTACACAGATGTAAAGCTGAAGTGCCCTGTTAGCAGCTAGAAATGGATACTAATAGAATATATCTTGAAGTAGTTTAAAGACACAAGGAAGCTTGTTCCCCCAAGTTGGAAGACTTTGGAAAAATCTAACACAGATTCTGATAAAGGACTATTCAGTTTTTTCAAAAGTAAACTGAATTTCTGGCTGCTTTATTGATACCAGCATATTATGTGCAAAACCTGATTATATTAATTGATTCATAAAGCACTGGTTTTTCACCTGTGGTTTTAAAGAAAAAATAAAAAAACACCCAACAGAGAAGATCACGGGCACAGTATACTTTCAGTCATGCATGCAAACAGCTATAGCTTTGAATTCATTTGGGAAACCAGCTTTAATCAATAAAATCCCAGGGTTTTTTTCGTAGTGAGTTTTTCAACAGTTATAAGGAAGGCATGCTGATTTTTAAAGGGTGGTCAGTGATCAAAAAACTCAAAAATGAAGCCTTAGTTTTTCTTCTTTTGGATCATGGCCAAAATAATTGTTTATTTAAAGGTTGTCTTGGTTTACTTACATTACAAGGACCAGAATATATTTGAGGAGTCAGCATAGCCTTTTTTCCCCTTTCTTTCGAGAATTAACAGGTTGACATGAATAAGTCTCTGACTCTGTAAGAGGGGAAGAAATTATCAGTTTGGCATTTCACCTAAATAAACAGACCCATCAGAATGATTGAGGTTACATATTCAAGAGAGAAGTGCATATCTGACACATAGAGGCCATAGAAAATTGTGATGAATTGCCTAGGGTTTTTATTAATTATTATTGTCATAGTGACGAGAGTAAGGGGAACATTTTGCAGCTCACATCTACCCTGCTAATGTCAATGAAGATGAGAAAAGAGCCAAGCTGAAATAATGGTTTAAATGTTTTTGCTGTATATTTTAAAAATATACACCATCTGAGATATTTGTATAACTGCATGTCATTGTGTACAAAAGAAAAGCATTAATTTTCATGGGTTCCTTACCTAGATTCTCTATAACTTTAGACAGTCCCTTTGCATAATTAACAAAAATGATGAAGTGTGTATTTTTAATTGGTGAAAAGTTCTTCTGTGAGGTGGTTCCTTTATCTATACTATAGTGGTTTTCTCAACTGGAATACTGTCTGTAATTACAGCAGTTGTAGATAGACAATTCAGGGCACAAAACATTCTCGCTCTATTTCAAGTATGATCTGAGTTACTTTATATAAAACAAATATCAGGTCAAATTATGTACTGCTGCTGTTCTACTTTTTGAACTTTGGTTTGAGAAGCATAATTCTGTCTTTTGAAATAGTGCCATATGATATCCATTCTGTAGATTCATGGTATTTAAATGTCTATTTAGGACATCTTGTTAACTACTGTAAGCTTTCAAATGAGTAATACAAACACTTGCACTTTGGTTTGTTGTTTTTTTTGATTTTTTTTTCCCCACAAGTCTTTTTAAAATGTTAAGTGTGGAAAATGTTAAAATGTTAGGTCTGTGAAAAAAAATGTTAAAAACATATTAAAAGAAAAAATAGTGCTGAATTTTCTGGTAGTTCCTTCATATACAATCTTACACATATTTCCTGCTTACACAAAATGTCAAAATAATTTTCACTGAGTAGAAGCCTGAAAAGTGGAAACAGTAATATAACTCAAAAAATAAAAAAGTCTAAATCCTATTTCTTGAATATGACATTTTATACTAAATTGCTTTATACTAAGTTATCAGAAAATGCTTCATTGTAAGGATTCACAGTTCTGGAGTCCCTTCTGGACTGGGACACTCAAAAGGGAGTGGAGATCAGTACTTTCTCTTTGCAGATGTAGGCAGATCAGCAGAAGCAACAGTCTCTCTTCTGCACACTGCAATGGAAAAAAAAAAGCTAAATGATCACAGAAGTAAATGGCCATGATCCATGTCCATTTTGAATTTAGCTTTGTAAATGTTACTTTAAAAAGGAAGTCCTTTGTGTATTTAGAAGATAAAAGGATTGCAGAAGAAGCCATGTACTATGGGAATTTATTAA